TCTTCATCCCAGTTATCTAATTTTGAGTGTGTTATGATTTCCGGGACTGAATGCTCAAACAAAACTATCTAAGACATTCGAGCAGTATTCACTCGAGATTGGGACGGAAAAAGCTGTCGTTATTGAGGAGAAAAACAGAGTTATCAAGCGTTGTTGATCAAGAGATAGCGCGCGTGGGAAACTGATTGACTGTGTTCAAGTTCGCGCTTTCTGTTCGACGAAGGCCTTTTTAAATGCATACGTTTTTCGTTTTTAACTCAGAGGCAAGAGTATGGCTTTGAGCGTACACAATAACAAGATAAGGCCGACACTTTTGGTGAGGCGAGCGCTATTCAAGACTAAAAGCAATAAAAACGAGATAGTGTTTACACAGCCTAATTTCTTTATTCGTACAGTATATTTTTTTCTTCTGTGCGATCCGGTGGTATAACGGAAACCATTCTAATGGTTCCCCAATGATATAGAGTAAACCACTTCACACGGGTTTTTTTCCAAATTCAATGTGATAAATATCATTTGTGGTTAATATTGATCTCCGTGAGTCCATCTTATGCCTTTCAAATCACTTATCGTTTCAGCAGTTTTGTTCTTGTTATTGATTTTCGCTTGGTAAATCATCGCTTTTGCTTTCGCTTTGATGTTGTGAGAAAAATCAAGAATCGTTCTTTAGAAGAAAAATGACTTATGAAACTTAACTTTTGTTATGGCTTTGGGATTATAAAAAACTTTACTCGCTTTATGAAAGCAATTATGTGGTGTCGCTAGAAAATTTGCTCAGTTTCGGGTTCGTGAGATTGGACTAAGGCATATAGGCGGTCTCGATCGGCGGTCAGTATTGGTTAAGTAAGAAGGCCACATTAGCTAAGGCATTGCGTTGATCCATGAATGAATGAATTACTCCAAGGCACACTAAATGAACTGGAATCAATAACAAGTGGACTAACTACATTCGAAGAACAATATAACTCACATTGAATTAAATTTTGATCTCCCACTTTATCGGCTTTGGACTTTATAACTCAAAATGATAATCGGCGACGATTTTTAATCTTATTTTCGTAAGTAATTCAGTCGCACAGTGAGTTCAATACAAACCCTCTTGTACTGGACTTTTTGTCCTTTTTTTTATCATATTGCTTTGTTTGGAGCAAAACTACAATTTCCGTCATAAAACCGTCTGGCGATTATGGCTGCATTGTTTCTATGGTGATAGAGAAACATGGTTAGTTTATAGGATAAAATGCCGATCAGTGCTGGACGCGGGGAGAATGGAAGGATTAGACCCATGCACTACTAGAACGGAAAAATATGAATGAAAGAATTAATAAATGAATGAAAAAATGAAAGAAAAAAAGAAAATGAATGAATGAATGAATGAATGAATGAAAAATGAGGGGAGAATGGAAAGAAATAAAAGAAAGTAACGAACTCGAACGAACGAAGGAAGAATAAGGCGCAAGAAGAAAGTGGTTAAAGAAAAGAAAAAGCGTTAAGAAAATTTGAAAAGAACCATCCAAAAATGTCATTCCTATTCGTTACCTATTAAGTCTAGGAGTACATCTCCTACGCGGATATCAAAATGCATATCAACTTCATAACAATTGATTTCTGAGAAATGTTATAAGCGATTTACTTACGGTTTTTGCAGTGCATGGGTCTGGAATGATCTAAGTCAGGGCATGGCTAACCATAGTATGTAATCCTGAAAAAACCTTTGGGCTGATCAAAGGGCATGGCTAACTGACCGGATTGAACTCTAAACAACCTCTGGGCGGATCAAAGTTAGGGCATGGCTAACTTGCAGATCAAACCCTGAAACATCCTCTGGGCTGGTCTAAGTCAGGTCACGGCTAACTATGGTATGTACGGGG